CTTTGGCCCTGGCTGGATCAAGGACCATGCCGCCGCCTGCAAGAAGGCCGGCAAGCCTTGTCTCTTGGAAGAGTGTAAGTCCGGGTCGTGCATCAGTTTCGTTTGGGAAAGTAGAATAGTGCTAACACGGCACCAGACGGGACCCAGTCCAACCATTGCACCGAGGAGAAGCCTTGGCAGCAGGCTTCTCGAGCTCTCGTCGCCGATGGCATGGGTGGAGATGCCTTCTGGCAATGGGGTGACAAGCTGAGCACCGGACAGACACATGACGACGGGCACACCATCTACTACGGCTCGGCCGATGCCACTTGTCTGATCTCAGACCATGTAAAGGCTATTAACGCGCAGTAAAATCGGGATTAAATGATGGTCTTTGAAGCAGCTGGGTATTTAGATATCCAGTCAGCAGCTGATCTTATATCCTGGATGGATTGCGGGCATGTTCAAAAAGATTTATGAATTATATCCATAATATCGATAATCATTACGAGTATATCGTGTTATATTCCGGCTGGAACCCCTTGAACTATCTCTACCTGACCGTCCTTTCTCTGTTCCGTCAGCCGCCATGGAGTTCACTTCAATATCTAGGCACTCCCCTAACCGGATAGGCGCCGCAGGAAGTTAGCTTGCCCCTACTTCAAACACAACCCCCGGAAATACGCGACACAAGGCACCGAGCCTGCACAGGCCCAGGATTGGATACAGTCTATCGATCGAAGTAATCCTTACCTTTCGTGTGGTCCCATGGATGTGTCGGTTGCTAATCGCATTGCAAGGAGCATCTCTACCGGCAAAACAAATGCCCGATCCATTGTACCAGGTGCGGAACCGACTTCGAACACGAACATCAGCTCATCAGGCTTTCAAGATCACCTCAGGCCTGTGAAGTTCGGCTATTTGAGGTGCCGGAGAGAGTGACTAAGCAACAAGAAGAGGCTCTCAAAAGCCATAGGGAATAGAGAGGAGCCGCAGTATGCTCAGAGGGAGAGAAATGGATCGCAGTCTTCAAGGTTCTCTTTCCGGGAATCAAAGACAGCGAGACACCTGTACCTTGTAAGCGTTGGACCGTTTTGGGTGGGGACCTCACTTGATGCTGACCATCTCCCGGGTTACGAGGAGGAATTCCAGCTGTTTTAGCAGTACAGCCTGCAAGAATTGCCGGCCGTTTTCCGCCGAAAACTGGAGACTGCCGCCTCCGCCTCATTCAGCTTGTTTGGGGATGAACTGGAGACGCCAGCTTGACAGCATCCTTCGGGACTCCCAGAGCGAATCTTGCAGTCATTCAATGCTGACAGGCGGGCTCAAGTCAGCCCAACGCCCACGGTATCATCAGCACAACAACCACCAACACAACAACCACCAACACAACAATCACCAACGCAACAACAACTCGACATCACCTCCTGGCACCCTACTGAACCACTCCAGGAGAGCAACCAATTCAAGGAGACTTCAAAGGACAGGATCATATAGTTATGTTGGAAAGAGTCTGAAGATGTAGCCACATGCAGTGCGAGAGCTGTGACACAGCTCAAGGAGGTGTGGATCACGCGGATCAAGCTGGGAAGACAAGGGGGTTCAGTGCAATTGTATCGCTCCTCGGCTTCACATAAGGTTCAGCCGGTATTCTTTCTAAGGTCCGTTATGCTAGAAGCATGATGAAGGAAGAAGAGAAGGAAATTGAAGGCGGGCGTAGCCCGACCTTCTTATGTTCTATGTACAAGATACCCAAGTCCCTATCGTGGCCTCTGAATCTAGGCTCTTGCGCGCGCGCATAGCCGACTTGGCCTGCTTGCTGGTTTGTTGGCTCTAGTAGGCCTGACATTCTTGGCATCGGCGATCCTTGCCGCGACTAGCCGGTGTCGACTGTGACAAGAGCATCGGCAGAGCGCTACAAGGCCTGCTCCAGGGGAGCCTTGTTGGCATGTGGAAAAGTATCGTGGTATCCGAACAAGTGAAGGTCTGGACCTTGCAAGGCTCGCAAGAGAGTGACGCAAGGCTGCCACCGCCGTGCTCCATTATTGCAGTGCAACAGATGTCGACTCTGTGCTCGCCGCAGCGGGACCCCCTCTTCTTCCCATCACCCCAAGGTGGAATCACAAGCAAGCACCCTGCGTGCGAGCCAGACGACGCCGCGCCATTGCCACCAACCGCTTCCCAAGCCATTCGGCAGCCGTGCTAGGACGAATCGACGATCGTTCGCGTAGAAGATGGCGAGATCACGTCCCTCGGCCTCCTTTCTGGTTGGCACGTAGTGCTTCAGCCTGAGGCCGTAGTTGATGATCCAGAAATCAGTCGGCGTCGGCTGCAGCTGCAGCTGCTGGCTGGCCAAACCGCTGAGGGTTTCGACAATGATTGGTTCCGATCCGCCTTCAGCCTCCGAGTCCCCCTGCGGGGTGTACTCTAGGGCAATTCTACTACCAGTAGGAGTATGCTCTTTCAAGCTGTACCCTGCGCTTGGACGCCGCAGGTCGGCTCTGAGGCAGAGCGCCGCCCAATCCGCTACCGTGATCTCGTCCCCAGGCTGGAGGATATAGAGATCCTGGTCTGGGAAGACGGCGACGTGGCGGCCGGCCGAGTCGACGTAGCAACAGCTCCAAGCCTGGCCCGACTTGTTGGCACGGCGGCAGAACTCTTCCTCGATTGCGAGATAGGACTCTCTGCACGCCGCCCAAAGACCGCCGTCGATGAGATACGTGGACGGGTTGTTGGGCGCCCATGAGACGGATTCGCAGATGGGATCTGCAGCCCGCGCCCCTGTATGTGTCGTGTCAGCGTGGTACGGCTGGCATCCGTGCGGGGGGGAAAGGCGTAGCTCAGCAACCATGCTGGTTGGCGTGTTCTTGGTCGCAGGGAGAAGCGATGCCGACTGTTCTTTGCTGAGCTGGTCCGGGTCGCCCGCCGCGGTGGCATGGTGAAGCCCGAAGATGTGCACTCCCGGAAGGTCGGGGCGTATCGCGTGATTCCAGATCATGAGCCTAATCTCCGCGGGGCAAGCTGGGAATTGGTGAAATGTTTTTGTCCTTCCCGGGCGGTCGTCTTGATGCATGCTGAGAAATTGCTGTCACGGCGTGTGGTGCCATGTAGACAGTGTATAGCCCACAACCTGAACTCCGAGTGTCGCTTGGATGGGGTGAAGCCACAGGAAAGGGGCCAAGCCATGGGGGATTTTTGTGAGCTCAATTTATAGTGGGAAGGCCACTGTTCGTTTTTTGTCATCTCCAACTCTTTTATAGCCCAAAAGAGCAAATATCAAGGTAATAGCTTTCAATTGGCTTTGTGGTAGATATGGTCCGGGGGGAACCATGGATTAGAGGTTCCCAACGAAACAGCACGTGTCATAATCATGATGGGTAGAGGATACCTGCCTAGGAAGTCTTGGTTATCTGGCTTCCATTCCTTCTCAGCACTCCACCATGGCGTCGAAAGGGAGCTGAGTTAAAAGATTATGCAGATCCAAACCCTAAAATTGACAAAGCGTTCATGCATACGAAAAGGCAAAATACCCCGGAGATATGGTAGCACCAAAAGAGGCGCCTCAGGTGGTAACTTAAAAGGGGGTCAATGAAACTACTAGTAAAGAGATTCAGAGTTTTTGAGAGTAGCTTGGCTATTGCATCTAGTAACGTGATGCTGTTTTCTGATTTATCCTGGAATTTCAAAGTAACGAGCTCATAAACAAGTCAGAGCTGGAGTGCACGAGGTCAAATAGCCGTGCCCCTATTCAACCGCGACCGCGGAGCCTCCCCGCCCGCCCTTTGCTTGTAAGCGGCCGAGACCAATCACAATGCTCGGCTTCTTTATGGCCGCCGTCATCCCGGTTGCGGGTGCCTCATTCCTGGAAACAGGCCATATGTGGGGAGTGAAATGCTCCGTGGCCATCGTGCCGGTAGTTGGGTAGCCCCCTGCCATTACTTATTTATATGTTGGGGCAGCCACGATATCCAGTAGACGGGGTTTCTCTCGTGTTTGGGTCTTGAACTGTAAAGAAAACTGTTAGCCCTATCAACATGACAATGGTGCGATTTATTGTCCACGTCGTGGGCGTGGCCCTCGCCCTCGCCTCCCTTGGATTGGCGCAGAGCCAAGTCCGCATCATGGCCCTCGGAGACTCCATCACCGGCAGTCCAGTAAGCCAACCCCCTTCCGCCCGCCCATCACTGCCCCTTTCTTCAACCACCCACTGACCACCAACCGCGACAAAGGGCTGTTGGCGCGCCCTGCTCTGGCGCAAGCTCCAAACGGCGGGCATCACCAACACCAAGTTCGTCGGCACGCTGCCGGGCCAGGGGTGCGGGTTTACCTACGACGGCGCCAACGAGGGCCACGGCGGCATCCTGGCCACGGGCATCGTGTCGCGCAAGGAGCTGCCGGGGTGGCTATCGTCGTCCAAGCCCGACGTGGTCATGATGCACCTCGGCACCAACGACGTGTGGAATAACCAGAGCCCGGCGGCCATCCTGGCGGCCTTTGGGACCATGGTCGACTGGATGCGGGCGAGCAAGCCAGGCATGAAGATTTTGGTGAGTTTTTCTTTTTGAGCTGGTCTCAAAAAGGGGGAAAGGTACCCTTGCTGATTCAGGGGTGTTGTCGGATGTCTAGGTTGCCCAGATCATACCCATGAAACCCAGCAACTGCGCGCAATGCGGCCAGCGCGTTATCGACCTCAACACGGCTATCCCCGAGTGGGCAGCATCCAAAAACACGACCGAGAGTCCCATCGTCGTCGTCGACTGCTGGACCGGGTTCAACCCGGCAACTGACACGGGAGATGGAGTGCACCCGAACAATGCAGGGAGCCAAAAAGTGGCTGATTGCTGGTACGGGCCACTTGTAACGGCTATCAAGGGGTAACGGTGGGACTGTACTTAGAGCAACGGAGGTCTGAAAAACGTTAAAGGTGTGGTTTTCAACGACCGCGGCTGAACTCTAATACCTTATCTCGACCATCCTACATGAGGACCAGACATGGACAATACCCTTCATCAATGCGACTCGGCAACGTAGCCAAGCGGTCTAAGGCACCAGGTTCAGGGCCACCTGAATTCTACATCCTGGTCAGTAATGGGGCGTGGTCTCAGTAATGAGGCGTGGGTTCGAATCCCACCGTTGTCATCTCTTTTTGGCTCATGGGGACCCACAAGGTGTCGTGGGTCTTGAATTTGAAAAGGGGACTTTAGTGATGGAGTTAGTTAGATTAGGGGAACGGAGGTATTGTAGGTGAAAATGGAGAGGAAGAACTTGCTACATTCCTACATTTATCCGCCTTGGACAAAAGTGCTTCTCATGCCCCGGTGATTGACTGTCGATAAACCCCGAGTCCCTGGCGAGGCATGCCAACGACTGGGCACATCATGGCCCTGTCTTCACATATGTGGGACTGTAGTAGTGCTGTGTGGGGCGCCCAGGTTTTTTTTTCTCCTATTAACCCGGGCGTTGTCGGCTGCCGGTTTATTTGAGTCGGTTGAGCAGTCAAGTTCTCGACTGACTAGGCGACTTATGTCACGATGATTCCGTGGTTGCTATTTATCACCTCACCCTCGCGCTCAAGTTGGCGATCTCAATACGGCACAGCATCGCGACCTTCCGTCCTAATCAGAGGCTCTTGCCATTCTCCGACAGAGTCTAGAAGTTATATAACCAAGGGTATGTCGGATACTCCCTCAATTTAGAGAGTACGTTGGTCCAACACTATTAGTAAGGTGTCTTGTAAGCTTCAACACCGGCTAAGAATTATTAGCACAGTTGCGGTGTGGTCAGTGATAGGCGTTGCGGACTATTGTGAAGAGAGTTTGGGAACACTTTGAAAGTTGGCGGTTCGGAGGACTTGAAGCTGAGGGAAATATGGGCAAATTCCTGGGGGCAGTTTGCTATTTTTTCTTAAGTCCATTGATTAGCGATCAATTCAATGGTGTTTTTAAAACTGAAAAGTTTCCCCGTACGGAAAAGGATGAGCGTCCTTAGCCGTTACTCGAAGACTACATGAGAGGCCTTATCTGGGCGAATTGCAGGATTCGGATCCTCACTTTAGAGTTGACGACGCCCGGCGGACGGTTCCCCGGGGCCCGGGCAATGGACTTGGGGCGGGAAATCCTGGCAAGGTGTGGTGCTGTTGGCTTTTCCTGGTTTGCAGCACACTCTGGCGCCAGGCTGCACTTCCATCAAATGAACACATTTGCAACGCTCTTAGTTATGTCTTTTCCAGTTGAGGTATTTGACCAAAAATACCTGCCATATAGGGGCCGGACCATTTTCAGCTTAGTTCGCTATCACAACTCTGTTTTGCCTCCACATCGCCACAACCAGCGATGCATGTGATTCTCGAAGTTCTAAACCCTTTTAAATAAACTATATATTAACACCGTCCCCCGGGCCCTCTGCTGGCAAAGTTAGAAAAGAAAAGAAAGAGGGAAAACTAATGAAAGAGAAAGAGCCGATTTTCCAATAAGAATAGTTAGTATTAGTTAGACACATTAGGCTCAGCGCCATTCCCGAGCAGCCTCAGCACCGCCTCATTCGCTTTCTCGGCGCGCCGTTATCATCATTTCGCTCGAATTTCACGCTCTTCTCAAGAAGCAGCTTCGCCACCGCCTCATGCCCTCTCTCGGCAGCCCGCGATAGCGGCGTCCGACCATAACCATCTTTCGCCTCAGTATCGGCGCCCTTCTCAAGAAGCAGCTTCGCCACCGCCTCATGTCCTTCTTCGGCAGCCCATGATAGCGGCGTCTGACCATTATCATCTTTCGCCTCAGTATCGGCGCCCTTCTCAAGAAGCAGCTTCGCCATCGCCTCATGCCCTCCTTTGGCAGCCCACGATAGTGGCGTCTGACCATAATTATCTTTCGCCTCAGTATCAGCGCCCTTCTCAAGAAGTAACTTCACCACCGCCTCATGCCCTCTTTCAGCAGCCCATAATAGCGGCGTCTGCTGACTATAATGATCTTTCGCCTTGGTATCAGCACCCTTCTCAAGAAGCAGCTTCACCACCGCCTCATACCCTCTTTCAGCAGCCCATGATAGTAGCGTCTGACCATAATGATCTTTCGCCTCAGTATCGGCGCCCTTCTCAAGAAGCAGCTTCGCCACCGCCTCATGCCCTCTTTCGGCAGCCTGCAATAGCGGCGTCTGACCATTATCATCTTTCGCCTTGGTATCGGCGCCCTTCTCAAGAAGTAACTTCACCACCGCCTCATGCCCTCCTTTGGCAGCCCATGATAGTGGCGTCTGACCATCATCATTCGCCTTGGTATCAGCACCCTTCTCAAGAAGCAGCTTCACCACCGCCTCATACCCTCTTTCAGCAGCCCATGATAGTAGCGTCTGACCATAACCATGTTTCACCTCAGTATCAGCACCCTTCTCAAGAAGCAGCTTTGCCACCGCCTCATGCCCTCCTTTGGCAGCCTGCAATAGCGGCGTCTGACCATAATGATCTTTCGCCTCAGTATCGGCGCCCTTCTCAAGAAGCAGCTTCGCCACCGCCTCATGCCCTTCTTCGGCAGCCCATGATAGCGGCGTCTGACCATTATCATCTTTCGCCTCAGTATCGGCACCCTTCTCAAGAAGCAGCTTCACCACTGCCTCATACCCTCCTTCGGCAGCCCATGATAGCAGCGTCTGACCATTATCATCTTTCGCCTCAGTATCGGCACCCTTCTCAAGAAGCAGCTTTGCCACCACCTCATGCCCTCTCTCAGCAGCCCATGATAGCAGCGTCTGACCATAATCTTTCGCCTCAGTATCAACGCCCTTCTCAAGAAGCAGCTTCACCACCGCCTCATACCCTTCTTCGGCAGCCCATGATAGCGGCGTCTGACCATGATGATCTTTCGCCTTGGTATTAGCGCCCTTCTCAAGAAGCAGCTTTGCCACCACCTCATGCCTTCTCTCAGCAGCCCATGATAGTGGTGTCCGACTATAATAATCTTTCGCCTCAGTATCAGCGCCCTTCTCAAGAAGTAACTTCACCACCGCCTCATGCCCTTCTTTGGCAGCCCATGATAGCGGCGTCTGACCAAAACCATCTTTCGTCTCAGTATCAGCACCCTTCTCAAGAAGCAGCTTCGCCACCACCTCATACCCTCCTTTGGCAGCCCATGATAGCAGTGTCTGACCATTATCATCTTTCGCCTTAGTATCAGCACCCTTCTCAAGAAGCAGCTTTGCCACCACCTCATGCCCTCTCTTAGCAGCCCATGATAGTGGCGTCTGACCATTATTATCTTTTGCCTCAGTATCAGCGCCCTTCTCAAGAAGCAGCTTTGTCACCGCCTCATGCCCTCCTTTGGCAGCCTGTGATAGCGGTGTCTGACCACCATTATCTTTCGCCGCAGTATCAGCACCCTTCTCAAGAAGTAGCTTCATCACCGCCTCATACCCTCTTTCAGCAGCCCATGATAGTGGCGTCTGACCATAACCATCTTTCGCCTTAGTATCAGCACCCTTCTCAAGAAGCAGCTTCACCACCACCTCATGCCCTCCTTCAGCAGCCTGTAATAGCGGCGTCTGACCACCATTATCTTTCGCCTCAGTATCAGCGCCCCTCTCAAGAAGTAGCTTCATCACCGCCTCATACCCTCTTCCGGCAGCCCATGATAGCGGCGTCCGACCATAACCATCTTTCGCCTCAGTATCAGCGCCCTTCTCAAGAAGTAGCTTCGCCACCGCCTCATGCCCTCCTTCAGCAGCCTGTGATAGCAGTGTCTGACCACTATTACCTTTCACCTTGGTATCAGCACCCTTCTCAAGAAGTAGCTTCACCACCGCCTCATACCCTCCTTTGGCAGCCCATGATAGTGGCGTCTGCCTATAACCATCTTTCACCTCAGTATCAGCACCCTTCTCAAGAAGCAGCTTTGCCACCGCCTCATGCCCTCCTTTGGCAGTCCGCGATAGCGGCGTCTGACCATTATCATCTTTCGCCTCGGGATCAGCACCCTTCTCAAGAAGCAGCTTCGCCACCGCCTCATACCCTTCATTGGCAGCCCACGATAGCGGCGTCCGATTAAAATGATCTTTCGCCTCGGTATTAGCGCCTTTCTCAAGAAGCAGCTTCGCCACTGTCTCATACCCTTCTTTGGCACCCCACGATAGCGGCGTCTGACCATAAGAGTCGTATAAGTCCACATTTCCGCAATCCTGAAGGAGGAATCTTACTGCTTTGTGGACCCCGAAGAACGCTGTTAAATGAAGGCCTGTAAACCGCTTCGGGACCATCTGGGAATCAACCGGACCCCCAGGCCACCGTTCGACAGCCATAAGCGCTTGAATTGACGCATCGACCTTCGCCTGACACCGTAGGAAATTTGTAACATCCCGGGATACGTCCGAAGATTTACGAGCATGGTGACCCCAATTGCGAGCGGCGTAATCATAGAGCGGATTCGACTGTACCCTCCCTTTGAATTCGTGGTCCGTCTGGCACATCCCGCTTCCGAAGGTGTTGAACGAGAGGTAGGTAACGCAGACCGCTGTAATGTCGTCCTCGGCAGTCGAGAACCATCTTTCTTGCGTTCGCTCAAAGTATTCCTGTGTCGTGTAGTGGACCAACCGGATCGTTCCGCTTTCCTCGTCGACCGTAACCAGCCCTGCGCATACCGAGACCATATCCCCGATCTGGGGAAGGTTGTCTTGGTCCAGTTCAAGCCTGCTGGTCTCCACACCCAGGGCGTGCTGGAGTTCCAGTGCAGTGAGTGGCCTCTTCGCGCACGTAATCCACGCCAGCACCTGCGTAGCCAGTCTCTGCCAGCCCGGGCCCTGTCCATGGATTCTCTCCATTGTTTGATCGTATGCGCTGGCTAGCAGTTCAAGATTCTGATCCTCAGTCATCCCTGGGCTCTTGTTCTGGAATTGCTCCAGTGCGCTCTTAATCTCTTTCGCTGTTGGCTTATCGTGGAGAAAGCCGAGGTAGATGTATGCGAGGAGGAATCTGCCGCAAGTTAGCGACGATACATCTTCTAGTCGCCTAATACGGATACGTACACCCCGCTGACAGCGCTTGAAATTTTCGTTATGATATGCTTTTGAAGCTCTTCATTCTTCTTCACAAACGATGGCACCACCTCTGCTATATGCCCTTCAAGATATCTGCGTATATCGTCATCGCTTGCGCGAAT